AGAGAGAGAGAGAGAGAGAGAGAGAGAGACTTACAAACAATGTAAAGCAAAAGGGTACTGAAGCACATATTCCATGGAGTACCCCTCACTGTTGTGCCAATTCATCTTCCATCCTCGAGTCTAATCCATTTCTCTTCGCAGCTGAACAAACAAACACCTTTTCCTTAGTTGTCTCAAATAATGATCAAGTCATCAGAACACACCTAAAATGAAGAACAGACGAGGTGGAAAGATTAAACCTCTGACGCTTCGACCTTTCTTTCGGGCATTTTATTTTTGTGCATACTGAGAGGTCTCAACTCCCCTTCAATACATTGCATGTCGAACATAAAGTTAAAAGCAAATGACAAGAAGCAGATTTAGCATTTCGATTCTGAAATACATACACGGCAGCTGGTTTCTTGTAGTTAACTCCAAATCCGTTATTGGCTCAGAAAGCAGGACTTAAAAAGACGTTCTCGTTTTACAGGCTTCCATCAGGTAGATAGTATAGCGAACATTAGTACTTCAATCAGGAAAATTACTCCATGACTCGATTTGAGTACAGCAGAGGGGGCATGGATGGAGTAGCAGCAGCCACCCCCGTTCCGCGCTCCAGGTGGCCGGCGACTTGCATCGTATTGTAAGTCATCACCTGAAGCAACCCTTGGTCATTAGTCTGTCCAATTCATCGTGTCAAACAATACAAGAAAAGAAGTCTTCATAAGTTAGGATGAGTTGTGACTCAAACATAACCCCACAGACAACGTAAAACTACACAGATCAAGGATGAGATTTCAACAAATAAATATATATAAGGCATAAGAAACCTTAATCAGATGATACAATTCGGAGTTGGTTTTGACATATGAAGGACATAATACTAGCAGGATGGCAAATCATGGAGCAGAAGCTGCAAATGCCAAATATATCAAACGTATGATCACGGTAGGTACCTTTTATTCATTTCCAATATCCTTTCAGTTAAATCAGCATTTTGCCTTTATAAAACTTGAGAACGGCGCAGATGATGAATCTGCAAAACAACACTCAGAAGGGAAATAGCAAAATAGGAGGGCCTATACCAACAACTTGTATGCCAACTTTATGCTGTCAAAAAAATTTCTCGAAGAAATAGAACTGAAGGGGAGACTCCCCCCTAAGGGGCCATGAGCCCTTCGATTGTATATGAAAGAGACTGAGCCCAGTCAGATCTGAACAATAACGTTTGTAGTGTCTGCATCACATCATAATCTGGATCCAGCTTACGTTGCCAGCCCTATAAAAATACAAATGGGAACTTCAGCTATGTCGGAGAAGGAAGCATTTGATATTATAAAACAAGGATTTTTTGTTTCATCAGCCATACAGATTCAACTGCTACACATAACACATCATCCCTTGTTGCTTTCCATATATATGCAGGAGTTATATTAGTTTTAATAACCCATGGATATATGCTAAACAGGACATGAGGAATAGTGTAGTCTGAGGCGCAATGCACAGTATAAAGCATGATATATGGAGTAGAAATTCAAATTAGTCAACCACGATCAACTTTTTCAAGGGAAAGAATTTCTATCAATACATGATTTATAGTAGTCACCAAAGGTAAAATGTACTTCTATCAAGGAAATTATGGTAGTCTATTGCATATTAGTATCTGAGAATGAAGAAGAAAATGAACTTGACACTGATTTGAAACTCAACATACTTCACCAGAAATCACTATGCATAGTCATTATCCAGATTATCATAACTGGATATAAAACTAGGTTCAGAAGGTGATCCATGCACAAGCATGGTGACTCACAATTTTTTATCAAGTGATCTACAAACATCGAGAAATTTCTTAGCAGAACTTCTGGGAAATTCTTGCAAACATTATACCAAAACTAGTTTATTTATTTTTCTCAAAAAGCTTCCACGAGACGCTTGTTTTTGCACACTTATAGTAGCAACTCTAGAGATGCTTTAGAAAAGTTTGGACTTGTTGAGGCTTTATAATGATATATGTATTCCACTGAAAAACACAAATGATAGTTTGTTATGTTAATTTTTATCAGAGGCAAGCAGAGATTACTTGCATGAACAAGAAATGGAAAAGAGATGCACACCTTCCCATGTTCTGATGTTTAACAACCTCAAATTTTCAAACCTTGTACAATAGATATCATTTTTATAAACTCAGGCATTATTTTTATATACTCAAGCTTGGTACCAGTAGTTTTTCTTTTTTCACGTTATTCTTTTCAGTGATACAAAGCAGTATAGACAAGATATCTACCTCCAGAACCAAAGTTGTTACCATCACGGTGCAAACGTTACCATCAATATTGACTTTATGGCGGCGAACTTGTTCCAGCAATTGATGCATGCATTCAACTGGATGGACAGAATCCCCTTTAGAAGAGCCCCAGAAACTAAAGGACTTCTCTACTTCCTGTGATATCATATATGCATCAGAAAAGAAATCACAAGCACACATGAATGCATATATAAATTATGCTACATGTAAGAAAGAGAACCTAGAATTGGAAGTAAATTTTATCGCAACACACCTTTGACATGGTGACATTTCAAGGTAAAAGGCCTATCTAATGCAACAGTCATTGGGAAATGTGGTTTCAGTTAATAAACAAGTAAACAATAAATATTTGGAGACTGGTAGCCAAGATCGTAAAGGTATTTGACTTGTATGTTGTGTCATGGTTGTAGGTTTCAGCTGAAACAGCCGAAAACCTAATCATCTTGTATCTATAACAATTGATTCAGTGTCCAAAAGCTGGAAAAATGAAAAACCACTTCAGTTTCTGCCAACTAGATTTTCTGACATGATTAAGTATTGAATGTAACACACGTTTCGATTCATAAATACTTCCCCATTAAGAAAAATGATCATATACCATTTCTAATTGTTGGAGATAAATTTAGGGATTAAGTCCAACTCCAATCATTTTTCCTGCACTCCATCCTGACATATATCAAAAGATTAGTTTCTTTTAATCACGTGCAAGTTTGAATGCTTCTTTAAGACCTTAAAGAAACTTTTGAAGTGCACCAAAGCAAATGTTTTAACTTGATCATTTTCTAGGAAAAAATAGTTTGTGTGTGTGTGTGTGTGTGTGTGTGTATAATTTTTATTCATTTTTAGAATTTAAAACTTTCAATTTGATAACATAAACAGTCAAAACGGCCAAAAGTGCCTAAAAAGTTTTGATATGGAACGTACTAATCAATGGAAATCAGAAATGAACCTTTTAATCTCGTGTACTGGTTGTGAGTGAAAAAAAGTTTTGAAGTAGTTGTATACAAAGAAACAAAGGTAATTCGTGAACAATACATCTCTCTCCAGACTTCAAATTTGATAAGACATTTGGTGACACCATGAAATTTATAAAGGGCTTGATACCATGGCCTTGGTATCCAACAGGGGCTTGATACCATGGCCTTGGCATCCAACAAGGCCTTGATACCATGGCTTTGGTGGATCCATTGAATATAATATTCTATTCATGGATTTGACATCAATCTTCCTCATCATGAAGTGTAGCAACTATAGAATTGTGT